AATTAATTAATGCAGAACGCTCCATTATAGTTGTATTTTCAGTACCTACATTTTCATGCGTAAGAAATAGATGGGTGAGTTGCCCTCATAATTTTTCAGTAGTCATTTAATGGCTGTTAGAGCCCCCAAAATAGAAACTTTGTCATGTTGCATGGGGCTGGATAATTTTGCAGAACACAACATAGTAGCTTGCAGAGTCTGTTCCTGAAAGATTCTTCCACGATGGAGTGCAAGTTCTCTTGCTCTCTGATCACAATCCCAGATCAGAGTAAAATAGAGCTTTGTATTTTTTAACAGGATTTCTCTTTTTAGCTGTCACTATCTGCTATTCTTCATCTTTGAGACATGAAAGAAAATGCTCTTTTTAGAGCTCTCACTCAAGACTGAGCTCTCTCACCCCATCCTATAGGCTCTTTCAATCCTTATTGACATCTGAACAAGTAATCAATTTTCTCATAATGCATACCTGGCAAGTGGATATTGTTCACCCTTGCCCAGTCCTTGTATTGTATGGCCTTACTTGTCCACATTCAAGATGTCTCAGTGTGCATCTGGTCTTTTGTTTTTGATATTCTTCACCAATTCTCTTTGAACACTTTGCCCCATATAGTCACCATCTCTATTTTCCCTAAAAAATTGAGGGGAGGTTATTGAGGTGGAGCAGGATACAGAAATTCAATCTCTCTCTTCAAAATCAGTACAGAGGCTGTGTTTTACAATTAATCAGAAATTAATTCCAACCAGAAAGATGTAGTAGAAGGAAAAATACATACTGGGGGTGCTTCCCGGGGTGCTGACAAGGCCACTGTCACTCACCTTCCTGCTTTCTGGGGCTTCTCACTACCCTGTCCTGCTGGGCCAACTCCCTGGTCTCCCCCAGCCAAGGCACAGAGCTGAGATCACTGCCCCCTCGACCCCCGCCCACCAGAGGAGCAGAACAGACTCTTCAGGTCCAAGGAAAATGCAGCTTTAGGCCCAGCTTCTCGGGATACTGCTCCCCAAACGGGATCAGAACCCCAAATGAATTATTTAGGTAATGCCCCTTTAACAATGAAAGGAGGATGTACACACTGATTGCTCCCCCAGGTACCAATTATTTACACTGGGCTTAATAGTAAATAAAAGTGATTTTATTAAGTACAAGCTGTAGGATTTAAGTGGCTATGAGGGAGAACAGGCAGAGCAAAGTAGATTACAAACTTAAAATAACAGAAAACACTTAACTAAGTCTAACACTAAAACCTGAGTGCAAACTTAT